GTTCTGCTCTGTCCTGTAGGGTCACCATGAGTCAGAATCAACTTGACTGCAGCGGATTTATTGTCATAACAAGGTCCTTGGGTGGCTCAAGCAGTTTGTGATAAGCTGCTAACTTAAAAGGTGGTGGTTCGAACCCACCCAGTGGTACTGCAGAATAAAGACCAGGCTATCTGCTTCCATAAAGATTACAGCTAAGAAAACCCTGTGGAGCAGTTCTAGTCCATAACACATGGGATTGCCATGAGTCAGAATCAACTCAACAGCAATGGGTTTGTTGTTGTTGTTTTTGTAGTGATAACAGCTACCAGTTATCAAGTGCATATTGAGGGTCAACTCTGAGGTAGCTGTTTACATATATTACCTCATTTAACATCCTGACATCTCTATTTCCTCTATTACAAAAATGAAAAATCTGAGACTCAGGAGAGGCTAAGTAATGTGTCCAGGTTCACAAATGGAGTCTCCTTCTTCTGCATTTGATTCCACCCTAAACCAGTCCATAGTCTTCCAGTGGGCACAATTTTCTTTTTGGCAGTGGTTCTGCAGGGGCCCAGGCCAGCTGCAGATCACTTCCAACTCTGAGGACTCCTCCAGCCTTTAATGAAAGTCTGAGCCTATTATATTTGTATTTACTTTTTATGACTGGGATTTGGTGTTCTCCGTTTAAAAGGTTTATCCATTCCTCAAACCATAATCCTCAAAATCCAAACTTTAGGTCTGTATGAACATGTTGTTAGTTGCCGTGAAGTCGATTCCCACTCACGGTGTCCTTATGTGTGCACACTAAGACTGCTCCACAGGGTTTTCAACGGCAGTGACTCTTCAGAAGCAGATTGCCAGACCTGTCTTCCGAGGAGCCTCTGGGTGGGGTTGAACCTTTTGACTAACAGTCGAGCACTTAACCATTTTGCCAACCAGGAACTCCTGCTAATTCCATCACAGTGCCATGTTGTAGGACCCGAATGGCCCCAAGAGTTCCTTGGATGAGTGAATTCCCAAGCCTTCCAAACAGCAGTCTGAACTCTCTGGAAGACAGCAAAGAACCTCAGAACAGCAGCCTCTAGAGAGAATTAATAGGTCCCTGTGCCCTGCCCACCCAAGCTGGATTTCCAGGCATAGTCTACCCCTGTCCCCTCTTCAAGAAGGCCAAGTTTTTTCCAGTGGCTGGATAAAGATACAAAGATAAGAACTTTATCTTAATATAAAGATAAGAACTAGAACGGACTGCTTTGAAAGGTTTATTATAGAGCCATAAAGTATTTTAGTAGGATTAAATGTAACATCAACTTGCTGTAAATCTCCATCACTATTTAATTAATAGTCACTATGGCAATGTCCATATGAGGTGGAATCGACTTCACAGCAATGGGTTTGGTTTTCTGGTTATGACAATGTAGTCTTGTCATAATTCCCATGGTAATAAACATTGACTGAGCTCTGTGATTTCTTGAACTCTCTTTAAAGGCACAAATTCAACTCCCTTGCCGCTAGATGTAGAATCTAATTTAGATATGAGGAAAGATGGGTATGGTGTGCCCAAGATAGTTTGGAGTTAGGATTGAACTTTTTGCCTCCAATTTCCTTTCCCCACTTTCTCCAAGGTAAAGTTGACAGTTTGTACATTCTGAAATGTCAAACTCTACAGGAATTTGTAAGCATTCTCCTACTTAAAAACCAAAACTTAAAAGGAACCTTTTATCTGGGCACTGTTATAAATGACCTTATTTTAAGTGTTTATACCTTTGGTTCTCCTGAGTCTTAAATGAAGATTCCACCACTGTGCCTGTAAAAGACCATTAGAGTTTTGAAATAAAAGGTAAATGTTAGAAGTTGTTCGTATGGTACTTATGAGAAGAAAAACTAGAGAGGAGATGTGCTGATGAGAAAGTAGGTGTATGCAGGTCAGACAACAGATCAGTCTCAAATTATGTTTGAAATATCAATGCTAAGTTATGGTTTATGTCAGCAGAGAATTTGTTTGTCCAGAAGAGATGTGGGCTCCAGTTATAGATACACGGAGCCTGTAAATTAGATCTGAGGTTAATTTTGGAAAAAGCAGGATGACACTTGCCTTTATCTGAATTACTGAAATAATTGCCACAGTACTCTGTTTCAAACCCTGTCCTGTGGAGAGCTGGCCTCAATGCAGACAGCCAGCAGGGAATATCCTTGTCCAACCATGACACTGTTTCTGCCATTACCTTGTATACCCTGTGGCCTCGGTTGGTCTCACATCAAAACTTCAAGGTTAATTCTGTTAAAAAAATCACTCAGGTGAGGTTTTCAGGTGCAAATTCATGCACAGACACACGCCAGACATCTTACACACTTTATGGATGACTGATTGATTCTGTGATTCATAAGGACCCTATGAAAATCAAGGTTATGAAAGTGTTGTGAATATATTTATTGAAGAAATATTGCCTCACATAGTAGGAGGAGTGTTACGGATTGAATTATGTCCCTTAAAAATGTATGTTTTAAATTCTGACATCTATACCTGTAGTTATAATCCCATTTGGGAATGGATTTTCTTTGTTACGTTAAGGAGGTAGTGTAGGGTGTGTCCTGAGTCACGCTCTTTTGAGATATAAAAGGAACCAGCAAAGGAGGCAGAGATGAGGGACAATAGATGCCACACCACATAAAGATCACCATGGAGCCAAGGAACAATAGACAAGGACCTTCCCCAGAGCCAACAGAGAGGAAACCTTCACTTAGAGCCAGTGCCCTGAATTCAGACTTCTAGCTTCCTAAACTGTGAGAAAATAAATTTCTGTTAAAGCCACCAACTTGTTGTAGTTCTGCTCTAGCAGCAGTAGATAACTAAGACAAGGAGCTTAGGCTCGTTGGAATCATGGCTGCCTTGGTACTCTGACCACAACCTGGAGACCACCCAGCCTTGCTTTTGTCTGCTTCCATCTGCAATAGCATGCATGATGTCCTTAGGCTCATTGGAGTCATGGCTACCTTGGTACTCTGACCACAACCTGGAGACCACCCAGCCTTGGTTTTGTCTGCTTCCAGCTCCAGTAGCATGCATGATGTCCTTAGGCTCATTGGAATCATGGCTACCTTGGTACTCTGACCACAACCTGGAGACACCCAGCCTTGCTTTTGTCTACTTCTGGCTCCATAGCATGCGTGATGTCCTCCGTCAGGAGCAACACTCTCATCCACTGCAGCTTGCCTCTAAAAAGTGCACTCTAGACTGGAGAGAAATGCAATTATACCTGATTGTAAGCTCCCTAAAGGCAGGAACTTTGTCTCATTCACCTCTGTACTCATGCTAACACTTCTCCTAGAATGTCACGTTGTTAGGTGATGTCAAGTCCATTTCGACTCATAGTGACCCCATATGACAGAGTAGAACTACCCCACAGGATTTTGTAAGGCTGTAATTTTTACAAGAGCAGATGGCCAGGTCTTTCTCCCACAGAGCTGCTGGGTGGGTTCAAACCACTAACCTTTCAGTTAGCAGCCAAGTGCTTAACTGTTGCACCACCAGGGTCCCAGTAACTATTTTATGAATGTTGAATGAATGAACAGATGTTTTCAAGCCTTACTCCTGCAGTCAGAGTCCCAGACTTGCACTCTCTTTACCATCCTACACGTTGTCAGTCAATAAGTATGTGATCAGCACCCACTAGATGCCCAACGCTGTCACGTTGTCCTGCAGGCACATCCAGTTGGACCCTCACTCTTGCATGCCTCATCTGCTGGTTTATAGCATACAAACATTCCAACCAATGTTACCCAGAACTGCACCAGGTTTCCTAGCCTTCTTGGGGTCCGGAAATGCTAGAGATCGACTAAGTTATTTGGGAAGTCTTTTTTTAAAGATTTGTTGTTGTTGTTGTGAAAATACATATAACACAACATTTGCAAGTTCAACCTTTTTTACATATGCAATTGAGTGACATCAATTACATTAATCATGTTTTGCAACCATCACCAGTATCTGCTGCCAGATTGTGCATTACCATAAACAAACTCAATGCTTCCTAAACAACGACTCCCCCTTCTCCCCTCCCTCCCACTCCTGGTAACCACTAATAAACTTTGGTCTCTATGGATTTGATTTTGAGAGTCTTTTTTTTTTTTTTTAATTGTGGTAACTATATAGGTAACAGAACTTCTGCCATGTCTACAATTGCCACATGTACAGTTCAGTGATATTAACTACATTCATCATGTTGTTCAACCATCACCATTAACCCTTCCCAGATTTTCCCATCACCCTTAATTGAAGCTCAGTGGGAGTCTTTATACATGGTTTCAAGACCAAATTTGGGTGTCTACCTTGAGCATCACACCCTCTTAAAGAGTTATCTATAGGAGATTGAAATGACAACAGTAACTCTAAAGCGCAGCTGGGAACTTTAAGGGGCAGAGAGTCTAAGTTAATGGTGGTCAGACAGTATGGGCAGAGATGGCGAGAGTGCTGACACAGTGAAGTATGTAACCATTGTAAAAATTGTTGCACAGGTATATGAGCTATTGTATATATTTTCACACACACACACACAAAACCCTAGACTGGCTTGTACTTGTAGCATTGCCGCAAACAATACGTGTACATTGGGCAACCTTGGCTTCCTCATTTGAACGTTAAGGTTCCTTCCAGTTCTGAATGTCTAACACTGTATGCACGGTCTTATAAGAAACTATACAGAACTTTTCTCACTGCTAAATAAAATGATCAGATCCATACAGTCCTGCAACTTACATGACAGTACTCTAACTTGAATGGACATGATACAAGGTTTTAGAGATCTTTTTTCTGCATTTAAGCTAAGCTACTTATTCGCTATATCAGTTGAGAAAAATCATGTAATCTTTCTGCCCAAGTTTCCTCATCAATGATTAAAATAATGTATAATAATAGTAATAGTAAAATACAGAATTGGTTCTCCTGGAATTATCTCATCCATTTAAACAGCAACACTTATTTTCTTTCTTAAGAAGCTAAAACTTGTGACTGTTTTGTTTTTCCCTAGGAAAACCTTTTTTTTGTGATGGAGTATCTCAACGGAGGAGACTTAATGTACCACATCCAAATCTGCCACAAGTTTGATCTTTGCAGAGCGACGTAAGAGCCCTATAAAGGGGTTGGGATTTTTCCATCGTTCTTGTCAGTTACTGGTATTTTTTCTTGTTTCCTTATTCAGCATGCCTAAATCCCAGGCAGGGCTTCAAACCAGTTTGTTCCTGGTCGTTCTGGTTGGAACCCCTGCTGAGAATTTGCATTTCTACTCCAAATATACTGAATCAGAATCCACATTTTAACCCGATCCCTAGGTGATTCTTGTGTATGATAAATTTTGAGAACCACTGTTGTACTAGTGGTTCTCAGAATTGATCCCTAACCAGCAGTATTAGCATTGCCTGGGAACTTGTTAGAAATGCAAATTCTCAGCAGTGGTTCAAACCGGAATGAACTAGTTGAGACCTGATCCCAGGGCTAGGTAAACTGGGATTGTATCAAACAAGGCAACAGTTTTCCCCAGTTTGTGAAACTTAAAGTTGTGTCAGTTTTGTTTCATTTCTCCGTGTTTTGAAGCTGGTCACTTAATTTCTTAAGAAACCACTCCAATCCATCAGAATTGCAGCCACTCATATTTGTAAATAATCTGAGCCCTTTGCAAAGAACACAGGCCATAAAGGTGGTCACCAGGAATGAAGCTTTTAGCCAAGGACTTTAGTGGGAAGCTCAATGTGAAGGCATAAAGCATTTGGCTCAAGGGGCGTGAGAATTAGGAACCTGGAAGAGGCACTTACTCTATTTTAAAATAAATCTTCACCTTCTTTGGCATCAAGCAACCATCGATGCAAGCGAGATTGAGCAGGCCGTGTTTGTCCCCTGCCCCGCTCTGTGTGCTTCCCTCCCCCACCGTGGATCCTGGATCCAGAGTAGTAAAACCACCTTGAAATTCAAGCAAAAGGAAACCGCCAGCAGGCTCACTTTAAAAAGATAGGTATAGGTTGGCTTTCTTGCTTGATGCTCAGTAATCTCTCACGCATCTCTGAATGAACAGTGAGTGCTTTAGATGAACTGGGTTGAAAGATGAACTTGTTCCACCAGCTCCTGCAAGAACCCTGACTGAAGTTGCTGTTCTGTAAAATCCAGTGGGTAACACTCCACTGCCCTTGTTGCCTCTGGGAACCATCAGCAATGCACCCAGAGATAATTTTATTGGATTTCTGCAGCAGAGAAATTTATCAGGCATTTTTTGTGCTGGGAAGGGCTCAGTCCACTGACCTCTGCAATGCTCAGTAATGTATTGAAGCCAGCCTGGAAACATGCTTATCTATTGTGTCCTAAATGCTTTCCAGGGAGGAGATTTTTGTATTCTTCTATGAGATCCATCAAATATCACTTCCAGGAAACTCTCCTTTATCTCTAACCTTAATCCCACTCATGATAGTATAAACTCATTTTCTTTTAAGTCTGTCATCATTGAAGATGAGGAGTGATTTATCACTCTTATAATATCCTTTCCTCCACCTCTCAGGCTCCACTTCTTGTACAGGCTAAGTTGTATCAGCATGAAAATAAACAAGCCTGGTCTATTTGACGTGGTCCCGCATACAGGGCTATGGGCTCCAAACTAAACATAAAATAAAGGGAAAAAATATGTCCTCTGTGTGTAAATCACACAGTACTATTGAATTTGATTTTGTGTGTGTGTGTTTTAGTTACAAAAAATAACAGCGCATTGTCATTTACAATATAAGAATAAACACTGGACTCACGTGGGGCTAGTTTAAGGTACCAACTCTGTTTCATACTGTCAGTGTAGACGCTAGACATGTCTGAACTTCAGTTTTCTTTCCTTTTTTTTTTTTTTTTTTGTGTAGTAAATATGTAGGTAACAGAACATTTACCATTTCTGTAATCTTCACATGTACAGTTCAGTGACGTTAATTACGTTCATCATGTTCAACCATCACCATTTACCATCACCATTCCCATATTTTTCCATCACCCTTAACGGAAGCTCAGTGTCCCCTAACCGTTGTGTCTTCCTTTCCCCCTCCCTCCCACCAGTTTCTCATGTGTAAAATGGATAGCATCTTCCTCTTGTCAGCATGAAACAAAATAATGTGTGTAAGCAATTTAGCAGAGCAGCTCCACATAGCACTCAGGACATAAAATAGAAAGCTGGGTTTGGGGATTTTATTTTAATTTGTTAATGCATTCATTTTGAACCTTGCTTCTCCCTCTTTTAGGTTTTATGCTGCTGAAATTATTCTTGGTCTGCAGTTCCTTCATTCCAAAGGAATTGTCTACAGGTAAATGTTGCTCCTTGGAAATGAACATTAAGCTATCTAGATTTCTTGGTCCAGTTAATTTAATTATTGTACTTTAGTGATATGAAATAGCTAGTGTGGTTTTGTGATAGAAAGTTCCAGCCCAGACCTTCTCCCCATAGTGATAACATGGATGATGATTTAATAACAACCAAGTAAGAAATTCCAGTCTCAAAAGCAATAAGGTTCTACTCTTACTTGTCCTTTATTCTGCCCCTTACTTTTGTTCTCCCTTTCACTGCCCCTATTCTCACTTCCTTCCATTATTCTGCTTTCTCTTTAGTATATTTTTGTTGCTTTCTTTCTTTTCCTTTGCTTTTTTCCACTTCATAATTCTTGTTGTATTTTCTTTGGGCCACCTCGAAATGCTTGTGAAATTTTCTTCTGGGGCGGAGTGGGGAGGTGGTCTCAGTTTCCTCATACTGCTATAACAGAAATACCACAAGTGGGTGGCTTTAAAGAACAGAAATTGATTTTCTCACAGTTGTGGAGATGAAAAGTTCAAATCAGACTTTCAGCCTTGTCCGTTCCTTCTTTGTCGGTAACTTCAGGCATACCTTGATTTTTGGCTTGTATACAATCCCCACACAGCATCTGTCTTCCCCTGTGTGTGTGTGTGTATTCTGGTCTTTTTATAAATTAGAAGTGATTAGTTTTAGGATCCACCCTATACTGGTATGGCCTCATTAACATAACAAAAGGAAAACGCTATATTCAGAGAGGATCACATCCACAGTACAAAGACCAGCAATTCAACGGACACAATTCAGTCCGTAACGGGAGCCTTTGCTTGAGCACTCAGACTCACCTATGGAAACCTATGATCCTGCACCTCGCAGAAGCACACAGAACACCTTGCATGTGATCTTCATGAGCAGATGTCTGTCCAGAATTCTCTGTTGTACAATATCGTGTCACGTCCTTCTGTCAAAGCCCTTAGATTAAACCTCTTGTACTTCAGTCTCCTTCTTTTCTCAAAACACTGTTGATACTTATTTAACATACATGTCTTTAAAAGCTTAGATGGTTTCCAGCTCACTGCAGATTAGGGTTAAAAAAAAAAAAAAAAAGAAACAGAAATGATCTGGCAGAGCTGCTGGAAGCCACTGCAGTGAGAAGTGACAGCTGACAACCTGACATAAGGGGAAGATGCAAAGCAACCGAAAGGCTCCAGGACAACAGGATTGTGTGCTCTTTTGTGGCACATGTTCATAATAATGACCCGGAGTCATCAGTACAGGTTAAATTATGTTCTACACCGATCGTTTAAGACAGCCAGACTGTGTGTTATCAGTTCAGAAAGCATTCCATCAGAGATGGCTAATATTTAAGCTTTAGTGCTTAAAGAGAAAGCTGTCATTATCTGGGAAATTCACTTAGGAAGGACCCCTCTGTTTCAGAGGGTACAGTCAGATGAGGCCTGCCCTATTTAGAGGCAGAGAACTAAAGACTGAAGGGAGTCTTGAGAAGTCTATTTTCTGGAACAGCAGGGACTTTGAAATTCTTTGGATATGATTTTTTTTTGCGGGGGAGACTGTCTAAAATACAATAGTTTAAGAAACTGTTATGAATTGAATTGTGGCCCCCCAAAATATGTGTTGAAATCCTAACCCCTATACCTGCAGGTGTAATCCTGTTTGGAAATAGGATTTTCTTTGTTATGTTAGTGATACCATACCAGCGTAGGGTGTGTTCTAAACCTAATTGCTTCTGAGCTATAAGAAGAGAACAAGGACACTGACTGGAACTTTCAGCGTCCAGAACTGTGAGAAAATACATTTCTGTTCTTTACAGCCACTCACTTGTGGTATTTGTGCTACCGCAGCTCTAGGTAATTAAGACACCATTTTATACTTTTTTTTAATTTTAAGGAAATTGAGAAAGTCTCACCAAAACATTATTTGAAAACCCGATGAGGATCCATGTTTTATTTCCTTGTATATCTGTAATGCCTGCAGTATACCTAAAATTTACCTATACCACCCTTGTGGCATAGTGGTTAGGAGCTTGGCTGCTAACCAAACAGTTGGCAGTTTGAATCCACCAGCTGCTCTCTGGAAACCCTATGAGGCAGTTCCACTCTGTCCTATAGGGTTGCTATGAGTCGGAATCAACTCGACGGCAACGGGTTTGGTCTTTTTTTGTTTTAGAGACCCAGGAGCCTTGCTAACCAAAAGGTGGGTGATTCAAATCCACCAGCCACTCCAAGGGAGAAAGATGTGGCATTCTGCTTCCATAAAGATTTACAGCCTTAAGAACCCTATGAGGAAGTTCTACTCTGTCCTGTATGGTAGCTATGAGTTAGAATTGGCTTGACGGCCGTGGGGTTTTGTTGTTTGTTTGTTTTTAGGGACTCAGTAGACTGTGTGAGATGGATGGATGGATGGATGGATGGATGGATGGATGGATGGAGAGCAAGAGAAAGGAAAAATAGAAAGGTTTGAGAGAAAAAGATATTAGAGCTAGAAGGGACCTCGAGAGAACAGAACCCATGTGCCCAGTGCAGTCTCTGTCTGCATATCACAGGTCTTCCTTTTATCAGTTAATCTTATAAGTTATTGACATGCAGAAAAAATAAAGACCAATAGAGGTCCATAAGTAGCTTTAATCTCACAAGCAAGTTATACCCATTTTAGAGCTCTTACTATGTTATTGTATGAGGAGACTAGTTTTCTGAGTCTTCTTATGAACCGATAAGAAAGAATACTGGGTTTGTTACGCAGTGAATATGATTCTCATTAAAACTCTAAGTGCTGAAGGGAAGAAAAATATCGATATCATCAGAATTAAATGGAGGTATGCTAACAAAAATTCCTGCCATAAGACAGATTTTTAAAGGGGAGGGGTGTTGCAGGTGGAAAAAGTGACTTCAAAAAAGACACATAAATAGGAGTAAGTAGGTCACGTGGAGGAATATTAAACCAATGTGTCCAGCTTTAGTGGAAAGGCTGTTGTTGAGCAATAACAAGAAATGAGGCCAGTGAGGTATAGAGAAGCAGGTGGCAGCAGCATCACTTACGGTGTGCTAGTGGAACCTGAAGACCAGTGGTATCTTACAAGATGTCACAAGCCCTAGTTGACTAGTGGTAAAAAAAAAAAAAAAAA